GGAGGTACGAGAAAGCTTAGAAGTCGGGGTGGCAGGGGAAATGAGAGGTGGAGTAGGAGGCACCTTTAATTCTCTGGTACACAGTTTGTCTGAGGAAGAGATTTGTCCGTTGGAAGAGAGGAAGTCACTACAGAGTGCTGAGAAACAACAGGGTTTCCGAAATGAGAGTTCAAACATCAGCCAAAAGCCAGAAGTCCTCCCTCAGTGAAATGCTGCTGCTACTTGTATTAGCCGTTCTCTACCCAGGTGGGGACAATCAGGGAGGTAAGCATGATGGTGGTGGCATAAACTGGTGCAGAGGACCTGGTTGAAAGCAGGGTGCCTTGCGCAGGTCCTGCCCCCTCTTGACTCTGGCCCTCTTCCACCTGCTGGAGGTGGGGCTGCCGCCTGAGGCCCTGGGGGCTCTCCAATGTGCCACACATTATGTGTCTGCAGACCCTGGGGTTTTGTTTGCTGCATGCTTTCTCTTTCCCTCCTGCCTCTCCCTTTCTCTTCACTCTCTTTCCTTCCTTTCTTCACAGCCTCCCAGGAGCCAACCTCATTCCACCTCATCCAAATCTCATCCTTTGTCAACAGCACCTGGATACAATATCACGGCTCAGGCTGGTTGGATGACCTGCAGATTCATGGTTGGAATAGTGTGGCGGACACTGCCATATTCCTGAAGCCCTGGTCGAAGGGCAATTTCAGTGATGTGGAGATATCTGATTTGGTGGAGCTGTTTCGGGTCTATACCTTTGCATTCATTCGAGAAATGCGGGCCCACGTCCATGCGTTCCACTTGGAATGTAAGTCCCATCCTCAGACCTGGCGGCTTCTCTGTTACTAGTTTTCTCTTGGTGGAGGGCAATGCTCCCTCTGGCCCTTTCCTCTTTTCCCTTCTTTGCCCAGTTATGAGCACACTCTTCTATAGAGCAGGCTCCCTCCACACCTCCACAAAGGGCCCCCAACTCTGGCTGCTTCTGCATTTGTGATAGTTGAAGGCAGCTGCTTTGTGACCAGTCCCTTGTTTATTTCCCATGAAACTGGATCCTTACTTGGCTACTGGCTGCTTGAGTGACCTAAAGTGTGGCTCTTCTTTTTATCCATCCCTTCGACCTTCGGTCCACATGACCCTCTGCTTCTCTCTAGAACACTATTTTGGTGACAGCACGGTATTCTTCCTTGTCGTCTGCCTCCCCTGTGCCCTCTTACCCACCACACATTCTACCATGCTCTTGATCCATTTCCGACAAGCAACCCTCTCTCCATGGCTTCACTTTTTGAAAGTGTCTGAATGGTGTAACGACTTTGGTTCATTATCTCGGATTCCAGGCTTCTATCCTCACCCAAATCCAAAATCCTTGGTCCTCCCTATTATCTTTTTATTGCTTGTTGGTAACTTTCATCTGTTTTCCTTGTGTGCAGACCCCTTTGAGATCCAGGGCATAGCAGGCTGTGAGCTGCAGCCCGGGGGAGCCATCCTGAGCTTCTTAAGGGGGGCTTTAGGAGGCCTGGACTTTGTGA